ATAAAAACAGACACAAGGATCAATGGAATAGACCAGAGAATCCGAAAATAAACCCATACATGCACAGCCATCTGATCTTTGAAAAAGGCATCAAGTCTACACACTGGGGAAGTGACTGTCTGTTCAGCAAATGGTGCTGGGAAAACTGGATATTCATATGCAGGAGAATGAAACTGGACGTGTATCTCTCACTATATACCAAAATCAACTCATAATGGATTAAAGAATTAAATATACACACTGAAGCAATAAAACTCCTTAAAGAAAACATAGGAGAAACCCTTCAGGAAGTAGGATTTTGTGTAGACTTCTTGAATACAACCCCCAGAGCACAGACTACCAAAGGAAAAAATAAACAGATGGGATTATATCAAACTAAAAAGCTTCTGCACAGCAAAAGAAACAATTAACAGTGTGAAGGTGAGTTTGCAGAGAAAAAGGAACCGTCATACACTGTTGATGGGACTGCAAAATGGTACAGTCTTTATGGAAAATGTGATAGAAGTTCCTCAAACAATTACTGATAGATCTTTCATATGACCCAGCTATCCCACTGCTGGGAATATACCCAGAAGAATGGAAATCATTGTGTTGGATGGATACCTGTATTCCAATGTTTATTGCAGCACTATTTATGATAGCCAAGAGTTGGAAGCAGCCCAAATGTCCATCATCAGATGAGTGGATAATGAAACTCTGTTATATCTACACAATGGAACACTACTCTGCTATAAAAAATAATGAAATTCTATCATTCATCACAACATGGATGGACTTAGAACAAAATTATATTAAGTGAAATAAGTCAGGCATGGCATAGAAGGAGAAATACCACACGTTCTCACTTATTTGTGGGAGCTAAAATTAAACAAAAACAAACAAACAAACAAACAAACAAATGGTGGTGGGGGGAGGAAGACACAACAATCACAGCAACCCCTTGAACTTGTTAAGACAAGTGAGCAGATATGTTGGTGATGGGGGAGCGAGGGGGGAGAGGTAGAGGGGGAAGAGGAATGGGTAAATGGACACGAAAATCAACTCCATTGTATATTGATAAACTAAAATAAAAAGTAGCATTTTACTTGAATATTATTAACATTGTGATTGTTTCATGCCATATTTTGTGGGATAAACCTTGAGAATATGTGTGATGAGAAATGTATAAATGTTTTGATTTTATGTGTGTGCACATAACTCATTTTTCTAGTTTTTGACAATTTTGTGTTTCAGTGTCTAGTTGGTA